GTTGGCATCCCCAGGCTCTCCACGCAGGCCCCTGAACTACTTCGACATGCCTGGAATCACCAACTACACAACCATGTTGTTGAGCCCAGATGGCAGCCTCTTGTATGTGGGAGCCCGTGAAATGCTACTCGCCCTCAACACCACCGTCTTTTCCCCTGGGCCACAGCACCAGCACGTAAGTGTAGGACAGCTGTGCCCTTCTACCACTTAATAGCAATACAGTGGTGCCTCGCTAGAGAGTTACCCCGCATGACAGTTTTTTCGCTACACGTTGGCTTTTTGCAATCGCTATTGAGATTTGCAAAACAGTGATTCCTATGGGGGAATTTCGCTGGACAATGTTTGGTCCCTGCTTCGCAAACCGATGCGAATAGATGACGATTTTGACAGCTCCCTCCACACTCGCAAAACAGGTGTTTTCGGGACCTAAGCTTCGCAAGACAGCTATTTAAACAGCTGATTGGTGGTTCGCAAAGCGGCTTTCCTATGGCTGATTTTCGCTAGACAACGACGATTCTTTCCCATTGGAACACATTAAACAGGTTTCAATGCATTCCAATGGGGAAATGCTTTTCGCTAAACAGCAATTTCAGTGGAACGGATTATCATCGTCAAGCGAGGCACCACTGTAAAAGTCTTCAGCAAAGGCTTGTTTTGCCTGGCAGGTGTTTTTGGTCTGGCAAAACATGGAACCAGATTGGGCAGCCATCCCAAGGTGAAAGCAGTCAACAAGCCACACCCCGAGGCTCCCAGTCTGGGCGAGAGCAGAAGCCAGGTGGATGGTGGGGGGGGGGTCCCTAGCTCTGCTCTTTCCTTGCCCAACAGGAGCAGTGAACCTGGTCCGGAATCTGGGAGCTCCTCTAGGAAGAGTGTTCAGCCTTTGGCCAGAGAGCCCAGCCTGCCCATGGCTCTCAGCACCTGTTGCACTTTCAGAAGAGAAATGCAGGGCTCAAGGGATAAGGCTCTGATGCTCTTCCATCACAAGATGTTTGCCCTTCTCGGCGTCCAATGTGGATTGCCTGGGTCGGTCCTGAGCACCACTGGGCTGGCACCTGTGCAACAAACGGGTGACCTTGCAGGCTGGTCAGGCGGTCAGTCCTTTGGTGCCAGTCTCTCTTGTAGCTGAGAAGGGCGGAGGGAGGAGCCTCCCGCAAGGAACGATGGGAGTGAAGACTGGCCTCCTGGTGGAAGGAGATCCTGGGCGGACATGGGAGTGGGGTCAGGGGAATGCCTCCAAGGTTGGCTGGCCAGCCAGCCTGGGAGATGTCAAGCAAGATGCAGGGCTCGGACCGGAGGCCACGATGCTGTGCCTGCATCAGGTCTCTCTTCCTTTCTTGTAGCTGCCGTGGGAGGCCGAGGAGGAGAAGAAGCGACAGTGTGTCTTCAAGGGCAAGGACCCCCAGGTGAGTACCAGCCCCTTCCCCACCCCCTGAATGAATGAGACCCCCTTGGGTTTACTGGAGGGAGCCCCGTCAGGGGTGGGGGGTTCTCCCACCCATTGGATTAACCCGCCCGTGCTCTTGGTTGCTTCCAGAGAGACTGCTTCAACTACATCAAGATCCTGCTCCAGCTGAACAGCACCCACCTGTACACCTGCGGCACCAGCGCCTTCAGCCCCACCTGCGCCTACATTGTGAGGACGAGGGGGGGCCTTCTGGGTCAACAGTCGCCCCTCTGCCCACCCCTGCACACACTCCCTGTCAGGCGTCGTGTGCCTTGTAGTCTTATAGGGGGTGAACTCAGAGGGGCCAAAGGTCATTTTTTCGGATTTGCCAGCAGCTGCCTGGCTTTTAGATTTGTACTCCCAAGAGGGAGGGGCTAAAGGGTGCTGAACAAGAGGCCATTTGGCACACAGTTGGTGGTTATAATGTTTAAACATCGTAAATGTTGTAACAGGGATCCTTTCTGAACCGAAAAACTGGCTTATCTTTTTAAACACAGAATTTTCTGTTGTTGCTGTTGTTGTTATGTGACATCAAGTCACATCTAACCTATCGCAATTCTAGTAGGGTTTTCAAGGCAGGTGAGGTATCTAAGATGTGACTTCCCAGTGAGTTTCTCTGGCCAAGTGGAGTTTCAAACCCAGGTCCTGTTTCTTCCCTCACTCTGTTTGCTAGTCCATCACTCTGCCCACTTGAGGCCATACTGGTTTTCCTGGTCTGCTGAGGGGCACCAAAAGGCCCTCCCGGGGTCCTTTGGGGACGAAGGTCCCTCGACAGGATCTCTGGGCTGTTTGGCCAAGGGCTGAGCAAGCTCCTGACACGCCATCAGCCCCACTTCCCGGGGAAACATCAGAGCCGAGCCCAGTCCTGCTGCCCAAGCCGTGCTGTGCTGTCGTGTAAGGGCACTTGACCCACCAGAGTCGGGTAAGGGCGGAATGTGTGGTTGAATGCAGTGGGGCTGTGCAGACATCTCTCTCAGGGCTCATGCAGGGTGGCTGCTGAGAAATGTTGGCGATGGGGAAGGAAGTAATGCAGAAACAAGGGTGCCCCCGGTCTGTGGTCCTTTGGCTCAGTATGATTTGGCCATCGCGTTATTTTCTAGGCTGGCACAGAGGGAAGGAGGCAGGCGAGCGGGTGGGCAGGTGGGCAGATTCTCAGTCTTGCAGCAGAGGCAGAGGGCTTCTCCGTTCCCTTGGGAGTGAGAGAGGGGGCTTCTAGCTGGAAGAGTGTTGTTTCTTGGCCCGTGGAAGGCCCAGTTCTTTCCTTCATGAAAGCCAAGCTCCCCTCCTGGCACCCTTCTCACCTCCTTCCCTCAACTCACCTGCAGAACCTTCCAGACTTCAGTCTGAAGCGAGACGCATCTGGGAAGCCGGTGCTGGAAGACGGGAAGGGACGTTGCCCCTTTGATCCCGAATACAGGTCGACCGCCATCATGGTTGGTAAGCAGCTCCTGGACAGAGCCAGCAAGGAGGGTTGAGCCCTCCTCCTCCTCCTCTTGTGGGACAAGGCGGAAGAGGGGCTGAGTGGCGGCTGGGTGGAAAGGGGAAAGGAAGCGGCCGCCGGCCACGTCTCTGCCGCCCAGGCTTTGGGAGGGACCCGCCCCTCCTAAAGCCCTCCCACCGCTCGTTTTCCCCTACCTGGAAGGCAAGGTCACTGGAGGGGTGGGGTGGGGTGGAGGACTTCTCTTGCCCTCTTTTTCCTTGGGTGGACACCACAGGGTGGATCAGGACGGCCCTGCCAGCTCGTGGCCCTGACAGTCCTGTTTTTTCACAGATGGTGAGCTGTACACGGGGACCGTAAGCAACTTCCAAGGAAATGAGCCAACCATCCTCCGAAGTCACGGCAGCCGCCCCGTGATTAAAACAGAAAACTCTCTCAACTGGCTGCAAGGTGCACGCCTGCAGGGAGAGGGAGGGAGGGGTGGGGGTGGTGCTGGGAGACATATTTTTTTTGGAGAAAATGGAGGGGGTGGGGCAAAGTTTGTCTGGGGCCTCGGGCTGGCCCTTTGCTCTGGGGAGGCCCGTCTGGAGTGGGAGGTGCTGCTCTCCTGCTGAAAGAATCTGCTCCTGGCTGTGAAATCAAGAGGTTTCACACGGCGAGGATGAAGTTTGGGAGGGAAGAAGTGCCTGCCGGAGGAGATGGCCTCAGGTTTGTGGAACTTTGTTCTGAACGGCATTTGTTTTTTTATTATTATTATTATTTTTAATTAAAAGATATATAAAATACGTACTACTACAGAAAAAAAAGACTATATAAAATACAAAACAATACAATAACATACCATTATCCTTATGCACCCATCACCCTCAGGACTAGCATTACACTTCATTCCATCCATTTTCACTCCAAAATTTCATTGTTTCTTCCCTCGGTGTATACCCCCTCCCTCTCTGAAATACATGTTCTAAAAATACATTCCATGTTTTCTTAAAATCGTTATTTTTCATTTGGCCTCTACTTATTTTCATATCACATGTCAGTTTATCGTTAATTGCCATATCCCATAATTCTCTATACCATTCCTCCAAGTTACATGGATTATCATTTCTCCAGTTATTTCAGATATTTCTTTAAATATTAAATCCCATTCTTTCTTTCTTTTTTCACATAACCACCACATAGGGGAGGGTTTTCTAGGACACAGAAAATGTTCACCGGCTACATTTCCGCCTGCAGGGTAATTGGGAAAGGCCCAGAATGATCCTTGGCCCAGAAAAGAAGAGCAATCCCCCCTCCCCGTTTTTCTTCTCGCGGAAGTTGCTTGTTGTACGTCCGTCAGCATCGCACCTCATTTGTGGCGGATCTGAAGAAGGTTCCCAAGGAATGTGAGATGGTCAGTCAGTGGGTTTACCATAGCCATGAGGATGATTCGAACCCAGCTCTCCTGAATCCTAGCCTCATACTGAGAACCCCTAATCCATGCTGGTTCATGCTGTGCGGGATAAATGTCTGTGTGTTTTTTTAATGTGTGTTTTTTGTTTTGTTTTATTTTGTTTTTTGTATTTTTTCGGGTTGAGTCGTTTTCGTGACCGTCCACCTTTCTAATTGAACGGCATTTGTGAGACCCATTGAAGCAGGCGTTGAAAATGGATTTTTCAGCTTGCTCTTTGATTTTTTCACTTTATTTAGGGTGTCAGGTCATTCTACGGATTTTGAATTTTTGGATCTCTGATGGTTAGGTCAAGTGGCTGCAATGTCTTGATGTTCTCCTTGGCAGCTGTGGATGCTTAATTGTATTGAAATTGTTTATTTAAGTTAATTTTAGCTATGATTCTTTTACCTATATATTGTTTGGTTTTTCTGTTTTTGTCAGATTTTTTCCCTTCAAAAAGTCAGCACATGCCTCTGTTAAACACCTGCAGTACGGTGGTCGTGTCCACAAAGCGCAGCTGAGTTGTAGTGGTTAAAATGATTTTCCCTGAGGCGGAAATGTCCCCTGTCTGCATTTCTTCTCCCCTTTGTCCACCATAAACTTTAAATCTCTCATTGCTTAGCTAATTAAAAAAATACTCATTTCATTACAAAGCTCCCTTTTGTAGGCTTACTAAAAATAATTGACTTATAGATAGCTCCGTGGTTTAAGGCTCTGGCTGCACAGCCAGAGTTTGGGGGGTTCGATTCCCCAGTGGTGCCTCGATGATCCACAGGGTCCCTTCCAGCTCTGCTGTTCAAAGGTGGTGGTGATTATTCCTCAAGTAGAAAGGTTTAAAATTTCCCATTTTCAAGCCGCAGCAGTGTGAGGGCAAGTCATGAGGATGTGGCAACCTGACAAATAGAGGCTGGAAAGGAAGGAAGGTGGATTTGTCTTTACGGGCTTGTCTCTTCCATTCCGTGCAGATCCGTTCTTTGTGGGTTCAGCCTACCTACGCGAGAGTCTCCCATCAAGCGACACCCCAAGAGACGATGACAAAATCTACTTCTTCTTCAGCGAGAGTGGCAAGGAATTTGACTTCTTTGAAGACACCATTGTGTCACGTATTGCACGTGTTTGCAAGGTGAGTGATACATCTTTGAGTAAAAGTTTATGAACAAGCCATTTCAAATGTGCGAAAAGTAATGGTCACTTTTTGCCCAAATACCACCTTATCTGGATTGGTAGTGCCCCCTGGTGGCCAGCTGTTGCTGAGGCATGTGTTTACCTTATGTTTTTCATCAAAGGCAATCTGGAGTACTTCAGGAGCAAGGAGCTATCTAAGCAAAACAACCAGACCCTTGGATGACAATGAAAATAAAGCCTTTATCCTGAAGAAGGATAAGGAGGTCCCAGAGAATGTGCATGCATTATTTTCATCTGTGTTCACTGCTGGAGATACAGGTCCCATGCCTGAGTCTGAGTGAGGTTTACAGAGGAGGAAGAGAAGAACCAAAACACATAAGGAGGACAGGAGAGGAAACTCTTGGCAGGCCTAGGAGCCTCTTTCGTCCCCCAGCAGACACTGTGGGTCACCTCAGACCCAGAAAAGCAAAATAGGTCTTTTTTTAAAGAGTCAAATCCAGATCCCCAAATCCAGGGGAGAGAGCCTCCCTCTCTAACCTGTTTTATAGAAGAAGCACAGCTATCTCTATGTTTTCATAATAGGAGGAGCACTGTTCCATCTTCAAGCCCCCCAGGAATGGTGACGTGTCATCGGATACCTGCCCACCTCATTCTGTCTGAAATGCAGATCTCATGGCCATAAGCCCTGCCTGTCCTTTTCTCCCCGACCCACTAAGGGGAATACACCAGTGGCTTGTGGACCAGGCCACGGAATGTGGTCAAAAGGGAGGGAGGGGTTGGGCTCAGCTCAAGAGCCACCTCTGCCCTCTCGCCTGAGCAAGACTTTTGAAGAATTCAAAAGTTGTCTTAATTCTGTCAAATTTTAGCTGCCCGCCTAGGAATTACCAGGCTGGTGGGGAAAAAGAGATAATAAGTGTATATACACAGTGTATATCCTTCTGTGTCAAAGGAGGGAGGAAACTTGGGCACAAGGATGGAGCAGAAGAATATTTTAGTAATTTATTGTTTTAGCTTCTTATAGCGCTACTTCAAGCCACCTTGGATCCTTTTGAAGAGAAAAGTACAATATAAGTATTTTTTATTGGTTGTTGTGGGTTTTTCGGGCTCTTTGGCCGTGTTCTGAAGGTTGTTCTTCCTAACGTTTCGCCAATCTCTGTGGCCGGCATCTTCAGAGGACAGCACTCTGTGCTCACTCTATTTTTTAATTATTATTAATAAAAGGAAAATTACAAATAACAAAATTAAATCTAAAATACAAACTCAGTGGTGACTACACGCAATACACATGGAAATTCTCCCACCCGTGCCACCTTCACCGTTGGGACTAGGTGACCAGTAATATCAGTTTGTTCCCCCTTTCACCCCATTCCTCCCCAAAAGTACATTGATTCTTCTGCTGGCCTATAGCTTTTCCCCTTCAAAAAGACATGCTCCAAGTATAAATTCCATACATTTTTGAAATAATTAGACTTTACCATTCCTCTTCTAATTTTCATTTCACTTGTTAACTTATCATTAATTGCTAAACACCACATTTCTTGATGCCAGTCATCAAGACTGATTTGTTTGTTGCTTTTCCACTTCAATGCAAATATTAATCTTGCTACTGTAACCATTATAACAACTAATTCTTTCTGATCTTTTTTCAAATGGTCATTCTTAATTATGTTCAGGAGGGCAATGATTGGTGATATCTGAATATCAAATCCAATAAGTTTTCTAATTTTTTAAAAAACCAGTGCCCATTCTTTCTTTCTTATTTCACACATCCACCACATATGGATAGAGGTCCCTTTTTTTTCATTTTTTGCATCTCCAGCATTGAGATGGTATATTTTTACTTATTATGCTCAATAAGTATTTTAAATAACATTAACAGATCTGAAGGGCTGGCTGGAAAAGTAAGAGGTTGAAGTGCCTTGCACTGGCTGGCTCATCCTGAATGGCTCAGTGGGGCTGGACCCTCTCTCATCTCGAGGTGCTCCCGTTAGGACTCTGAAGGAGCAATAAAGAAAGTTAGGATAGTGCTCGGCTGGAAATGGTGGTTCCCCACTGTCAAAAGGAGCAAGGGTTTCTGCTCTTCAGTCCCCAATCTGTGGCTGCAGATTTTGGTAATACAGGAAGGCACGTCTGCCACTGCCCACATGACACCAAGCGTTCTCTTGAATTATTCCAACACATGTGCAGGATTCAGGATTCCTCTCTGGCGCTGTTCAACTCCAAAAGAAAATAACTTTTCCTGTTGAACTAGAAAGTGGGAAAGGTGGTCCTGAAATACCTGTGCAATCTCAGTCTGTAGTCTCTGCATGCACTCCATTTTCCGTCTTTCTCTGACATTTGAGGTGTTATAGCAAAATATATGACATTTCCAGCATTTTCTCCCCTCCCCTCCTCCTGGCAGGGTGACGTGGGGGGAGAGCGCGTGCTTCAGCGGCGGTGGACAACCTTCCTGAAGGCCCAGCTGCTCTGCTCACGCCCTGAGGATGGCTTCCCTTTCAACGTGCTGCAGGACATGTTTGTGTTGACTCCTGGCGAGCCCTGGTCGGAAACAGTCTTCTATGGGGTCTTCACATCTCAGTGGTGAGCACAGAAGGGGTGATGGGGGGAGGTGGTATGTCAGGGAGCCCTTCAAGTAGGTGATGAGCTTACCACTGTGCTCAAGCGCCAACCCAGGTCCTTCATGGCCTCCTCTGATTCCAGCATGAGAGACAATTGAGTGTCAGTCAACAAAGTGATGGCACTTCCATCTAAATTGCCCACCCAGCAGTTTCACAGAGGTATTAAACAGTAATAGAAGATGGGTACCTTGAGGCGCTCCAGAACAAGCTGCTGGAAGGTTGACATCCCCTGGTGCTCTCCTCAGGAGCCTGCCCTATCGATGGGAGTGGAACTACAGTGGTGCCTTGCTTGACAAAGATAACTTATTCCGTTCAAATCGCTGTTAAGCGAAATCCTCGTCAAGTGAAACGAAAAAGCCCATTGAAATGCATTGAAAACCGGTTCAATGCGTTCCAGTGGGTGAAATACCTCAGCATCATTGAAGATCCTCCATAGGGCGGCCATTTTCAGTGCCTGTAAAGCAAGGAATCCATCCTAAAACACAGCGGGGAGCCATTTTAAACAGCGGGCGGCCATTTTGAAGATCAGCTGTAAAGATCGTCGTTAAGCGAAACATTGGTTCCCTGCTTCCTTGACTGTGGCCACATTGAAAGCACCTGGGACGATTGTTCTTGGGGTCACCAGCACCACCTTTGGAGCCCCTTTATCCAACTCAGTCGGGGACACCCCTGGGCAGTGGAGGATGGAGGGCAGTTACACCAGGAGCAGCCTCGGTCAGCCTCTTCTCTTGGACAAGCACAGGCCCTCGGAGCTCATCAGGGGTGGAGGTGAAGGGCGGGCAGGGAAGACGGCACCTCTCTAGATCACGAGCGGCTTTCTTTCCCCCTCCCCACCTGTGGCCTACCTGGGTGCTTCTCTTCTATCCCTCCACCTTGACGGCTTGCTTTTCTCTCCCAGGGACAGGAGGGGCCCCAGGGGGGCTGCCGTGTGTGCCTTCTCGATGTCTGATGTGAGAGAAGCCTTCAACGGCCTCTACAAAGAAGTCAACAGGGAGACCCAGCAGTGGTATACGGACACCCGCCCTGTGCCGGAGCCCCGCCCGGGAGCAGTACGTAGCTTGCCTGCCCACCCCAGGTCTTGTTGCTTTGAGACTGCCGGCCAGCCTTTTCCCTTTTTTTCCCCTTTTTCCACCCCATGGTTTCCAGGGGGAAAGGGACCAAGGGTGGTTCAAATCTCTGCAACAAAGTTGGGAGAGCCAGCAGGAAGCCGAAGGCTCTGCTGGGCCTGAGAGGCGGCCCTCGGGACACCGGTTGAACCGCTGTTCCCTTTTGCGCTTCCCTCCTCCCCAGTGTATCAACAGCCACACGCGCCAGATGAAGATCACCTCCTCCCTCCAGATGCCTGACCGGGTGCTGAACTACCTCAAGGACCACTTCCTGATGAATAGCCCCGTGCGGAGCCGGCCACTCCTCTGGCAAGGCCACTCCCGCTACCAGCAGCTCAGCGTGCAGCGTGTCCCGGGCCTCCATCGCCCCTATGACGTCTTGTTCTTGGGCACAGGTGGGGATGGGGAGCCTGGTGGCTGGGGAAAGCCATGCTGGGGATTGATCTAGAACAAGGGACGGACTGTCCGGGGCCCTTGTCTAGCCAGGCGAGTTGGTGACTGGACACGGCAGGACATGGCAGGACCCTGGTTCCTGCGGTCAAAGGCCCCTGCGGCCGGAGGTGGCCTTCTCCCAGGCGGTGCCGCAGGCTTGGGTCTTCACTGGAGAATTTGCTCCCCGTGTTGACAGACATGGAGACAAAGGCAGTGAAGATGAGCTGATTTTTCAGGTTGTCTTTAGAGACACCCCCGTGCCCCCTCTCCCTTTGGCTAGCATTTCTGTGGCTGTAAAATAGTACATAGAGAGATCATTTCAAGTAGTATTCAACATTCCCCTAATAACCTTCTTCTGTTTTCAGTCCAACTTTTTATATGCTTGTTCTAGTTTAACAATTTAACAATGAGCTATCCTTGGATCCATCTGGGGACAATTTTAAACCAGCATTAATGTTTAAGTTCTGAATGCCCGGGTAAGCCTGCAGTGAAAGGAAACATGGCATAGGGTTTCCACCTTTTGAAATTTACAGAGGCAGCACCATCTACCTTTGTACATTTTGTTTGTTTGTTCAGTCGTTTAGTGCCTTGGTACATTTTACCTTTGTAAATCTGTCCTCTGTAATTTTTAAGGTAAATAGTTGAAGCAAGCCAGAGGAAAAACTGTTTCTGAATTTAGGAATTGTCAACAATTTCAAGTAAGGCACATATATACAGTTCTTAAGGGGCTTGGAGCCCAGGGCCGTGGGGGGGGGTAGCTCTAAACTGGTCATCTTTCTTTTTGAATAAAGAGACCTGTCTAAATCGACACCCAAGGACAACAAAGAGGAAACTTAAAAGCCAGTGGCAAAAAGACGTGGTGGCACAAATGTAACTATTTATGTGTGATGATACAATCTTTATTTAGCCATCTTTTCCCTATGAAGTGGCTGAGTGTTAATAAATACACGATAAATAATGGTCTTGGAACAGGCTGGAGCACAGATCTGAAGTCAATAAAGAATAACTTGGTTCCAAGCCATGTGCGTGCATGCGTGCGTGCGTGCGTGCGTGTGTGTGTGTGTGTAATGGCTACCTTCCAAAGGAAACTGGAGGCCTGGGAGCTACTTTGCGACACTGTGTTGAATCTGAGGTGTCATTTTTGCCTTCTAAATGTGCAATTCTGCTGAAACAAACTTGCCACCATCAGTCCTAAAAACAACAACAGCAACAACAACAACAAGGTGTGGGCGATCCTTCCCACATGTTACTCTGCTTCCACCTTTGCCAGGTTAACCTCTTAGCTTCTCAGTTGAAAGAAATGCAAAGCCAAATTCCAAGATGTTTAGGAAAATGTATTTGCTCTAGTCTGTAACTGGCAAGACCCTGGCTTTTATCTTGAGAAACATCAGTCTTGGATATTGCATAACTTGAAAAATTAAGACTGCATCACCAGCATATGGAATAATTAAAATTTTGATTTAGGGGATAAGAGTCAATCAAACTGAGGAAAGAAGGAAAGAAAGCCAAGTATAAGTTTAAAAGAGTGGCCGCTAAAACACAGTTTTGCCTTATTCCAGGAATACACTGAATTTTTCTGACACATAATCTAAGTTTTTGCAATATACTTACGTTGTTGTTCTTTGATCAGACTTATAAAACGGAACAGTAAACACTTTCTGATAGTAGACTGAACTAGAGTGCTCCAAGGTGCAATTTGCACTGGTCAAAAGTGGAGCATGTCAATGCATATTACACGTGAATAATTTTTTTTGGGTTGGGAGGGGAAATGTCATGCAGCACTGTGGCTTCCCCTGATCTTAAGAATTAAATCCTCAATTTCTGATATGCTAAATAGTGACAGAGACAAAAAAGAGAGCTGATTCTCTCAGATGTCTTGTCAGGTAGATGTGAACACAATGCTCGAATGTAGGAGGAGGGTTGCTGTTAAAAGGTCCGGAAACCATCCAGAAGGGATGCATTTCTGCAAAGGACCAGCATCGAGAATGTACATCTTAAAGTCAGCTTGACCAGGAAGGGTCGCTGGTGCTGCTGCCCTTTTCTCAGGAGAGCAGATGGGAAACCAGTCCGGTGACAGGAGGAAAACAGGCATGGGGATATAACTACGGAGGGCCTTGGGCATTCATGATTGAGGGCTTCAGACCGGCAACACCGACAGGTATTGGTGACCATCCTGGATGTGTATGGTACCATATCGTTTGGGATCTGGTGGTGGGTAGATCTATGGTGGTGGTGGTGGTGGTCAAAGAGGAGCCTCAAGGCTTAATTGTTGGATGCCCTTTTATGTCTTGCAGATGACGGGCGGCTGCACAAGGCTGTGATTGCAGGAGGGCACATTCATATCATTGAGGAGATCCAGCTCTTCCCTGCTGGGCAGCCAGTCCTTGAACTGCTGTTGGATCCTGCACAGGCAAGGCAGAGGAGCATCAGGGGACCCTCTTCCCACCCAGTACCCTCATTGGGGGAGGGGGGAATAACTCACCCATTCCAGATGTTGAGCTCTTTTCCTCAAGCCAAGCCAAGGAGCCCATTGTATAGCTGTTTCCCCACAAGCAGAGGTCAGCCTCTGAGACCTCAGAGCAAGCCTTCCTCAGTTACGTATGCAAAGAAAGGGGACGCCTGGGGGGCATCCTGGAGGCCTTTTGCTTCCAGCCTCTGGTTAAGGCACCAGTTGCTTGCCTAGAAACGTCCCGGGGGGNAGGGGAGGTTGCATCCTCCCAAGAGATGCCGTTTGTAGCTCAAGGCAGGGCAGATTCTTCTCCTGACCCCGACCAAATGTGGGGCTCTGCCCTGTACTTGGAGCACCAGCCACTGTGTAAAAGTGAAGCAGACCAGTGGAACCCCTGGAGACAGTTCCACTAGGAAAGAAGCGGACGCCGGTGTACATAGAAGGCTTCCTGGAGAATCAGCCTCTCCTCTCTCCCACAGGGTTGGCTTTACGCTGCCTCCTATACGGCACTGGCCCAGGTGCCTGTTGCCGACTGCAGCCTGTATCGAACGTGTGGGGAGTGTGTCCTTTCCCGGGACCCTTACTGCGCCTGGAGCGGACAAGCTTGTCAGCCGTCTGCCTTACCGCACACAACGTAAGTCCTTCCGCTGGAGGTCATTTTTCCTTGTGCTGCCTTCCAAACCCTGACCCTGTTTCCTCTTTGCCTCCGCTGAGTTCCCCCTTTCATGGAGTCATAGATTCATAGAGTGGGAAGGGGCCTATAAAGCCATCAAGGCCAACCCTCTGCTTTGTGCAGGAATCCCAATCAAAATATATCAGGCACATGGTTGGCTAGCTTTCTCTTGAATGTGAGTGCACACCACCTCCTAACGCTGATATTCAACCAAAATCTGGCTTTCTGTAAGGTGGGTCAGGTGACCACGGAAACGGTCTTTGGACAAATGCCAGGTGACCACGGAAAAGGTCTTTGGACAAACGCTGGCTCTGTGGCTTAGAGACGGGGATGAGCACCGTGCCCGAGAGTCGGACACAACTGGACTTTACCTTTACCTTACAATCTGGGATGATCCGCAACAGATCTTGCCCCTCCTCTATATGGCAGCCTTTCAAATATTTGAAAAGTGCTATTATATCTCCCCTTATAGCTTTCCTCCAGGGTAAAAATGCCAATTTCTTTCAGTCTTCTCTCATAGGGCTTGGTTTCCAGCCCTCCTGATCATCCTCGTGGCCCTCCTCTGAACTTGTTCCAGTTTGTTGATATCCTTCTTAGTGTGGTGTCCAGAACTGGACACAGTACTCTAGATAAGGCCTAATCAATGCTGAACAGAGAGGAAATAGTACTTTGCAGGATCTGGAGACATAGCTTGCCAGCACCCAGGGCAAGTATTGTACCCCTTAGTCCATGGACCTGAGCCCCTCTTCCTCCCTCCGTTTCCAACAGGAGTGCCCCTGAGGCACCCTCCTCCTCCTCCATCATCATCATCCCTTCTTTTCCCATCTTCCCCCAACTCCTCCTCGCCTACCTGTCACTGGGCTCACCCAGGGTGTGGGGCCCACCCCCACCCCCCGCTGTGCCTTCATTTCCCACTGCGATGCGGCTGCTGCCACCTCCTCCTCCTCCTGTGCCCACATGGGCCTCTCTGCTCCCACCACCAGCCCAGCAGGGAGACGCTGCCGGCCAGGCTCAGTGCCGCCAGTCGCCTGATGGCAGTCAGGAAGAGGCACAGCAGCGGCTGGGCCCACGGCACCCGCAGCCCAGCCCACATGGCTCCAGCAACCCAGCTGCAGCAGTGGCAGCCACATCCCCTCCACCAGCCCCGGTTGGATGGAGGCTGCTGGCAGACTGTCCTCAACTGGGCAGTCTCTTCCCGTTCCTGGACCGGTGCCATGCTTGTGTTGGGCCCAGGTGTGGCTGGCTTGCCTTGTTTGCCAGACAGCCTCACCAGGCAGAGAGCCGGGGAGACAGCAGGAGGGAGAGAGGATGGACGGTCAGAGCCACTCAGGCTAGCCCAATGGCAAGATGGAGCATGGGAGGCACAAAAGGGCAGCAGTTGCACCCCTAATAAGGTTGTGCACTGGGGCGACCCCCCCACTCCCCTGCAAGGTATGCCACTGTGACTATATTAAGGCAGCCTAAAATAGCATTTGCCATTTTTGCAGCTACTTTGGGCTGTTGGCTCATATTCAACTTTTGATCTACAACAATTCCAGAATCCTTCTTACTCACAATATTACTGAGCCAAGTATCCCCCATCTTGTAACTGAGTGTTTGGTTGGAATGTTTTCCCCCTAGATGTAGAACTTTGCACATGACCCTGTGAAATTTCATTTGGTTGTTTTCAGCCCACTGCTCAAGATCTTCTTGAATTTTGTTCTGTCTTTCATGGTGTTAGCTATTCCACCCAATTTTGTATTACCTGCGAATCTGATGAGCATTCCCTGCCCCTCCACACCCAGGTCATTAAAACAAATATTGAAGAGCTCAGGGCCTAGGGCTGGACCATGTGGTACCCTACTTGTTATCTCCTCCCAACTTAAGAAAAAGCCATTGATGAGCACTCTCTCAGTACGATTCCATACCCAACTGTATATCCACCTGACAGTTGTTTTATCCGTCCCACACCTAGTTGCTAATCACAATATTCTGGGGTACATATGTATTACGTCTGCAGAATTCCCACTATCTACTAAGGAAGTTAACTGATCAAAGAATGAAATGAGATTAGTCTGGCAGGATTTTTTTTAGGCATCCTTCAGTCTTGAGAGATTATGGTAACATGTTCTGTATGGAGGACTTGGAACAGCATCTAGTGTGGCTGAGGAGGCCAATTCAAGAGTGACAATCCCTTCCACACTGAGGACAAATACAATTTGTTCCCTGTCCAGCTCCCTGATTTTGCTGGTTTCGGGAGTGCCTCTTGGCCTCGGCCTGCTGGACAAGTGCCTCTTCAAAATGGGAGAGGCCACAATGCACCGCCTGCCTCCAGGCTGAACGTTCAGATGTGAAGGTTTCCCATCTGTTGAGGTCCATTCCTAAGGCCTTCAGATCCCGCTTGCAGATATCCTTGTAT